AGCTTTCAAAACTACAGAATAATGAGCACTAACAATACATCATCTTTTGGAAAATCTTTTGGAAATGTAATCCTTCTTAATTCTGTAAATTTAATCCTTCTTAATTCCGGTCAAAAATTTATTCCTCTAAATTTCCCTGTTTAATATTAAAATGAAAAAACACCCATTTTTTTTAATCTCAGAATACTCTTACTCCTGTCACTTTCCGTCTCCTCTGTGAAATAAACATAAAATGTAACAGCAGGTGAAGCAAAGACTAACATGAGGTTTGTATTATGTTTTGCTATTTGCAAGGAAGAAAGGATGAAAGTTAAAGCGAATGACAATGCAGTGGTCTGGCTGGGAAAGCCAAATATTTTTCTGGTCCTACCTAGATAGAAGTCATAGAGGTTTCTAAGTGTGCATTGACTTCTCTGGCTTGTAGAAATTGTGGTGCCGTTCATGCTGACTTTGTTGCTGATTTGCAGGCACTGAGGAGGATGAATAATGAAATAGTTTATTTAAAACATAGAGCCTTTCTGTCACAGACTGAAATCCAAGAATTTCGCAGTCAGGCAACACTTCTTCTTCTGCCTCTTGGGTCTTTTCATGATCCTGTGAGTCTTAAATAATTTTCTTCACACTGGTATCACTTCAACAAGATAGACAGTGACTCTCATGCAGTCAGCCATACCTGTGGTGTGAATGCTTTCCTGAGAGCTGGACTTACCGGGTCTTCCTGAACACCAAATCGGTCAGTGCCTGACTAGCTCTTTCTCTTAATCTTTGAAGGGAGACCTGTTGGGCTTGCACGCTATAAACCAGTTCAGCTGGACTTTCAGTGGCTAATACTGCACTCCAGTCCAGACATCTGATCTGAAAGCTATGTCACATTTGGCATCTGGCAAGTCTGCAGGAGGAGGTACTTGAGACTATAAACTCCTCTGATTTGAACTTCGTGAGCTCAGGAATATTATTATTTATATAAATAAATTTCATTGTTGTTGCGTAGTATACAGAGCCACATGAAAACAAGTCACCACTGTCACCAGCATGAGATGATCATCCCAATAAACTTCTAATAAATATGTCCGCTTCGGTTCTTGGAAAGAAATGGCATAAACCTTCTCTTTCAGAGCTCCAGATGTGCTTCCCAAATGGGCTTGGTACTTAAACCTCGGAGTATGGCAGAGTTTTAGAAATGCTCCTTTATTTTAGTATATTTTTTGGCTGATTCTTTTAATAATTAGAGACTTCATTACTATTTTTAAATCCTGCAGTATTTTTTCCTATTACTGTCATCTGAAATAATGCTATCATTTTCATGGTTCTAGTGACAACATAGCAAATGTTTTTATTGCTTTCCAGTCCTTATTTGACCTTTGCAAATGAGCATTTGGGAGCAATACATCTATCTGACTGTGGCATACTTTCGAGTATTAACACAAACTCAGAAGAGACGAAAAGGACATCTTCTGAGTCTGGAATCAGAATCAGAGGGGAAGGCTGGGCTTATCCAGAGGGTTTTTAGGTGTATGTTAATCTCACAGCTGGGCAGAGTTTCTTGCCAATTATTTTTTATTTGGGAACAGTTTGTTTGTTTATATGGATGTTTCCTTCTTTTCCTAATGTGTGGCATCATAATCATTTCAGTGGAAATTCCTGTAGAAAATGAATATTTTGAAAATAAGAAAGTGTTTTGTAGGGAATGATGACATTTTCTTCTGCATAGGTGTGGTCCTTTGTGTATCAGAGCTCTTCCTTGTTGATGCTTTATAACAGCAGCACTTTCCTTAATGATTCAGGAAACAATTAAAATTAATACTTTAAAGATAACACTACGTCCCATTGAAACAGGCAAGCAGTGGTTTGATTTTGTACTACTACCAACGTGCTATTGAGTAATGTAAAAGAGAAATTAAAATTCCCTAAAATTGTTTGACATGAAATTTCACAATTCTGAAATCAAATATGTGAAGCTATTTTTTTTCCCTGAAATTCCACTTACCTTCTGAAAGTATCTGTTTTCATTACCTTCAAGCAGAAACAATGTCAAATTTTGAAATTTCAGATGAAGTCAAGTTCTGACTTGGAACCAACACCACTTACAGCTCTCCGTGGCAAAAATGCTGTGTCAGTAAGCGTTGAACACAAATTGCAGAAAAACAGGCATCGGTATAGCTCTGCTCATGAGTGCTACTGTTATGTGTTTCAGGATCATGGCATTCCAGCTGACACGGGGCATGCAGTGGCTCCGTGCTGTTCTGTGGTCTGCCCCCTTCATATTCGGATGTACAGGCCTGGGTGAAAGTCTGACCTATCCAAGTCACCAGCACAGAAGAATACCCTCATTTAAAACCTGCACAGCATAGCCAAGGTTTCATCCCTAATGTTATCACGGTAACTAGTTCTATGTAAATATAGATTTCTCATTTATTACCATCTTTTCTTGACTAGGACCACATGAGTGTATTCTAGATTTTTTTTTTTTCCAAATTTTGCTTGAAAAGCATGCCCTATGAGATCTTTATGCATTGTTATATGCTATCTTTGCCATAATTGTTCAGACACAGAAAGATAGATAACTATTTTTAAATGACTTCCTATTTGGAAATGGGTATGATAGTCCTAGCACAGGGAGGAGCCAAGTGTCCTGCGTTGG